CCTAGCCTAGGCTAGTGGCCTGTACATCAATAGCCTCTGCCGGAGCAGAAAACGCCACCCTGGACGGAGGTACATCTCGGAGCCAAACGGGAGGTTCATCTCGGAGCCGAGGGGAGGTACATATAGCGACCGATGTACCCTTATCAGACCGAGGGATACGTGTCGGTACGTAAACGTACTGGATGCCACTTGATCCTTATGACAAGTACCTCGGGGGAGAGGAACTTGTGAACCGATGAGTACGTGATCTCAGTAACAAGGATTTAGTGACACTGAGGACACGTGTCTTCATCTTGTAGTATTTCGAAAATGTCCCATCAATAAATATGTAATATTAGTTGTCTCCCGGCTTGTCCATGCCTTACTTTTTTGAAAATTTCGTGTTGGCGTGTCCGTGTCCTTTGTTTTGTGTCCATGCTTATTAGCTTCAACCTATTGTTTGGGGCTGGATGCATGAACATTGGGCCATATTTGTTCCTTTGAATTGCTTATCAAAAAATATGTGCTACTGAATTGCAGTACATCTCTCTCAAACAAATAAAGAACAAAAATTATTATCTTGGTCTTTTTGTTCTTTGTATGGTTGTAGTACTTTCACTGTGCGATTATAGGTATGTGTTGCGTATGGGACAAACTTGTTTAGTTGAAATTCTTTAAACTTAGTAAGGATGATACAAGAAGCAAAAAAATGGGCAGGTTAATTTGTTTAAATATATAGATGAATTCTTAGAAGAGATATCGAGGTCCATTCGGATTGGTGAAATAGTCATTTTATTATAGTTTTAAAAGCCTTACAACACGTTCATTTTTCTCTCCTTTTTGGGTAGGTGGGAAGAGATGGGTTTAACCACGTAATGATGTTGTGCTTAATCTTCCCTTTGTTGGGTTGGGAAGAGTTTATATAGAAACGAGCTTGCAACTTGATTTAATCATCACTTGTCTACGATTTCTAACTATTCAAGGGACTCTCAATTTCAACCCGTGCACTATTTCATGGTGATGTAGGCATTTGGCATTCTATTATGGGGTGCTGGACATGGGAATTGATTGAATCCATATTGTTTTCTCCGTGTTTAGGAGTTCTATCAGTTGTTGTTGAATTTCTATTAACACGTGTTTCTATATATCTAAATACATTAAAATGTTATAAGTTACCTATCTTTGGCAGAAAAAAAAACAAAAAAGCTAGTTACCTCATTTTTCCGTTTGTTCCTTGGATCACCCACTTGTAAAATAATATCTCCAGCACAATTGATATATGATATGCCCAACTGCTTCTTAATCCTCTATGATCGCATTGTATAACCTGCCCAATTTAAAAATGCTGCTTTTCCGGTATATTTCCAATATATTGTTGACCTTCATTTTGTTAGAGCATCCAATCCAAAACCAATTAGCAATGAGTGGAGTTCCCCTCAAGTATATAAATCAACCTTGGTAGTTCTAATTATTTGATGTGGGATACAAGTTCTCTTATACATTTTAGTCACTATATTTCACAAGTGGGAGTCATCTTGTGCTAAGAATTTGTATTCACCATTTTCTACTTGGTGCATATTCCAGAAAATGATGATATTTTGAAGTTTAATCCTTTAGTGCTAACTAGGAAATTAGGTGTTGCCTGAGTATGAGAACATCTGAGGATTTATATTTTGCACTTCAATTTGCCTGCAGCGTAGCGATGGAAAATTTCTTGTGTAATAATTCTTTTCTCCTAAAAATGCTTTAATGTCTTTTGGTATCTTAAGGTAAATGGAGACTTCCTTGACAGAACATTGGCTTCCAAATGGGGGAATGCATACACTTCCATATTCTTCTATGCGTCCTGGTGTCCATTCTCACATGATGTCCGTTCGACCTTTGAAATCTTGGGTTCCATGTTTCCTCAAATTGAACATTTGGCAGTTGAACAATCTTTAGCCATGCCAAGGTGGGAGACTGGCCACTTATTATTATTCTTTTTTTGTTTCATGTCTTCTTTGTTAAACAGGGTAATATGAAAGCTGGGAACACGTTGTGATTCTAGTGTCACCTTTAAGAAAAAAGAGAAGTATATGTTCGCCGCATGGAAGGATCATTGTTAAATTATTTATCATTGAGACGTGAACTCAACCTGGAATAACCTGACTGGATACCCATTCAAATTTATTCTTATCTGGACTTGTTGCCAAATCTATATTTTGGCATGCTTATCTTGTCATTTGATCTACTTTACTTTTTGGTTTGTCTTGCAGCACGCTTTCCAAATATGGCATACATAGCATTCCCCAAATAGTACTAGTGAAGCAAACATCAAGACTGCGATTTCGTGGTTCAAAAGACCTCCACTCCCTTGTAAATTTTTATGAGAAAATCACAGGTAAATTTACGAGAAAATCACAGGTAATTGCTTTTTAAACTAAATGGATGTAAACATGTAAGTGCACTGTGAAAATGTTGCTATTTCTGCTTCTACTTATATTTTTAAGTGTTTAGCTCATGAATCCGCTCCTGTCCTGGGTACCTTGCTGCAAGTCATTGATCAAAGACAGCATTGGTGCCCCAAAAAATATTGGTTTGGTGCTTGTGTTCAATCTATGACCTGCAGACAAATTCCTAACTCCCTATACCCACACTGAGATTGAAACAGTGATATATAATGTACAATATTGGCTTTCCTCACATGATTTTCCGTATTTCAGGATATGAACCAGTTCAATATGTTGTTGTGGATCAAACTATGAGTGTGGGAAGCAGAGGAAAATTTCTTGTGCCCTCTTGGATTGGGATATCTATGAATGAGAAATTAGCAAGAGAACCTTACCTAGTAGTCTCCATATTGTTCCTCTGTTTGAGGGTACTTGTATTTGTGTTCCCAAAAGTTGTATCCAGGTTTAAACATTATTGGGTATCCTATGGACCTCATCTAAATTTGGAAATATTTGGAGAGACGAGCCAAATGCTGGGCCGCATCTTCCAGACAATCGATGTGAAGAGGGTTTGGACCAAGCTAAGAGCATGCAAGACCAGGAACTTCCATCAAGGTGCAAAGAGTGCTCGAGTGTGGGCTTCTTCACTGGCTTCTGTCTCGTTGGGTGAAACCTCGTCTTCCCGATTATGATCCTAAGGTGGAACTCAAAATCTTGCATGGAGTGAAATTGAGTGGATCGTGTTTCTGGTGTCACGAAATCAATGTCTACTATGATAAACCTGGACAAGTAATCTCTCTCTCACTTTCACTCTTACTCCATCAGTTTCTATTTGGTTTTTCTGATTGCTCACATATTCTCTGTAATTTTAGAATTTTTGTTACTACTTGAGACGATAGGGAAAGAAGTCATCCTTTTTGAGTTATGTTCTTATTGGGGAGGAAGCAAAGAGGCGTGTAAATTCAAGAACTGCTTCCAAAAAGAAAAAAAAAATCTTGTCTGTATATCAGTACTTGGAGAAACATGTATTCACTTCTTGTTCCATATTTAGAGTCCACTTTTCCTTTTTGGAATGTCCCAAATAATATTATCAGTTTGAAAGTCAAGTGTAAAATGTCTGGTTTTGCCACAATTATGTGTAATTTTTTCCATAGAATTGTTTACATGTACTTTTTTTTTGTGGGTGGGGGGGAATCGATGAGTAAAGGTGTGCTTATGTTGCCCAGGTTCAAGCTCGTAAATCTGAATAAAATTATTGACGAATTTTGGGTGTATGAATTAGTCTTTCAATCAATACATCACTTAAATCAGGATTCACCAAAGATTTGGGTATAATTCATCTAAGTAACTGAGGTTCGTTCTATCAATTAATAACACTTTTTATCGCCTAGGGAATTTGATCTTAATCTCGATAAAGTAAAATTTTTACAAAACAAAGGGTGACTGTTAGTACCTAAGAATATGTTTAACTCAACTGGTATGTGTTTGGATACTGTACGAAAATGCCAAAATTGATTCTCCTGCACTCATGTGAAAGAGGCGTGTGGTTAATGTCAAACCAAACTCGTCGTATTGCAACATAAGATTAATCAAATGACACCATGATAGGTACTCACTGTTAAGGAACTACAATAGGATGCACAACAGGAATAGCAAAAACCACGGTAACTCCAATAATAACGAGGATGAGTTAAAAATTCATACACTTTAAATTCGAATCACTACAATTTTTTAGGGTCAAGCTATGAAGGATTTATCTCTCATGAATACCTTAGTTTCGGCATAAATATTCTAGTCTCGGACCAGACCGTAAAACATATTAGTTGAAATACGCATAAATTAACCCGAATACCTATGACCATCAATAAGGAAAAGCAACCTACATGTATACACATACTGATTGCTTGAACCAAAAAAAGATTTAAAAAAAAAAAAAAGAGTACAGTTTTCTAAGGTGTGACCACATCACTCGAGGGATATTTAGTTTCCTTTGGCATGCTACGTATAATACAGTGAAGATACCAACCCATGGACAGTTGTCTAGGCTTTCACTTTCAACTTTTCTTTTCCCCTTCAAAGATCCCTCAAGTCAGTGTCATTCCAAGCAAATCCTCACAAGCAACCTACAGTTTTTTCTTTTTCTTTTTCTTTTTCTTTTCCATATTAAATGAGCAGCAGAATAATATCATTCAGTGATCGAATAAAGGACGAGACTGGAACACGTACTTTATTCAAGTCTTACTGCCCGCGTAACAATCTAGATTTAACTAATTGCAATGTTTGTCAATGATGAGCACAGTTCCTCTGCTGTACAATAGAGGCATTGTTCCTCGAAATTATGTCGTTTGAAAAACAGTACCGCTTGCTATACTACAAAGAAGCCGGACCAATCATTGATGGTGTACATTCGAAGTTTGTGTTGTGTGCAAGCCGTATTGGGGTCTTCTATTAGTGTTCAGAAAGAGATCAGCATGAAGAACCTCGACAGGCAATCTGATCTTCAATCTGACAATATACTAATGGTTAAATTTATCCAAAGTAACATTACAGTAATCAAAATTAGATTTAATAACCCGATAAAATAATCCTAAAAAAGATATCCAGGAATACAATCTCACAAGTTTCTCTTTGGTGGGACCCAATGGACCATATACCATTTGTCACCATTTAGAAGGATAACCTCACAACGTCTTATTCTCTTTGCTGGTTCAATCTTTCCCTCAAAGGGCAAGAAGACACGAAGGAGTGGCCTGATCCAAGTGAAATTCTACACTAAACTCCATGAAAGCCACCATCTTTGAACCCAATAAAATCTTCAAAACCCAACTCATTTCAATACTTCAACCCACTCTTGCTCTTCCCCACTCTCCATAATCCTTCAACGAAATGGATCTTGAAGAGTGGGAAGTCCTCCCTGATGATGGGTTTCTTGAAATCCATGATGATGATGGCAAGAAAATTTTCTCAAGAAAATATCGGAATGATCGAAAAAGTGTTTTCCAGATGAATTACTTCATATGCCCATCTCCAACATCTCAACATATGATTGATTCACCTCAGAAATCAAGAGTGCCAATTCAACTTGTTCCTGTTCCAATCCAATTGGAACCAACCATAGGAAAGACCCCGGATCATGAAGCAGTGAAAGAAATCATTAAGATTCCGATTGATTTTAGCATCGCGCCATCACCGATAACTGAGAAGATCAAAGCTCACAATATAGGAGATTTAGAAGCCGATCAAGACCCAGTTTCACAAGTTTTCTTCAGGAAAACGAAGGAAACTGAATTTGCCGACATGAAAATGGACTCACCCAAGTCCTGTAGTAGGGGGATTATTCCTCAAATTGATGCAGGTACCTTCAAGGATAAGAGTGATCAGGCCTGTAAAGCTGAGGCCTTCGAGAGTAAGAACAGTTCATTAAAAATCCAAGTTGAGGAAGAGATGGTGACCAAGAAGAACAGCCACCTGGATTCAGGTATCCAAGAAGAGGTCATTTGGGAAGAAAGTAATGGAGGTCTGAACTTGTGGAAGTGGAGCCTAACTGGAGTTGGGGCCATTTGCTCCTTTGGTGTTGCTGCTGCTACCCTTTGCATTGTCATTTTTCAGTCAAAAGAGAAACAAAAAGCATCAAGAGAATCAAAAGCTTCAATATCAAATATATACCAATGACAAGGTTAGCAAGTTTCTTAGAATTTTCTCATTATTAAGTATCAAACATCATTGTTTGAATTTTATTGCCGACCGAAAATCATCCCAACCGCACACCCTATGAGACCTCAGGATGCACATAATCACTTTCAAATCACACGAGTGTCTGATCAACCAGGGCTCAAAGTTGGGATCTCGAGCTATTAACTAGTTAACTCTTGGCATTCAAGGTACACTAACAGGTGCATCGTGGTCTGAATTTTATTCTTGCTCTTTGATCTAGACCATATGGTGCCAAGATGGCATATGGTACTTAACCGTTACTGAGCAGAATAGCCAACTTTTTGGTACTAGACCAATTTTCCAAATCAAGATAAGTGACTGCTCAACCATTCAAACCAGAAAGGGTCGTTTTCTCCTACAGGTTATGGCAACTATTAGAACTGAACTAATACCATTTGTGGTTTTGCAGAGGATCAAGCAAGTGGTTCATCATGCAACTAAGTTGAATGAAGCAATTTCAGCAGTGAGAGGAGTTCCCCTGGCCAGAGTTCAGATCCCAGTTGGTGATTACTATGATGGTCTTTAGAGCAATGCCCTAGCATTTGATCCAGACCTTTGATCAGCCATAAGAATCTTCATATATATGTGCTATTCAGTACCACCAGATCTGTATATGATCCTTGGTATCTACATCTTGTACATGGATATATACTGAATGCATGTATAGACTCTACATGCTGGTTGTATATAGCATCTATACATGGTTTCTATATAATTTGAACGCATATATAGATCCCTCTGGGTTCTATATATTTTGAATGCACATGTAGATTCGTTTGTGTTGTGATTAGTGTTTGTCTTTTACATAATTGATCTCAAGCCCAGATAAACGAGGAGGACCGTTAACTTGATTAATCTAACTTTATGATACTATATTTTCTATGATGTGAAGTTAAGTAGGTCCACTTATTAGGAGGTGCTTAGAGTTTTATATCTGTGGCATGTGTCCAAATGTTTGCATGCGAGAGAGCACTCTTATTTTCAAGTGGTTGTCTACTCATGAACCGCTTGTTAAATTAGCAGTTTCATTGACAAATAAGATCCAATGACACAATACCTATTTTTTCTGAAGGATCTGTACTGTTGCTGTACAAATTAGGCCAGCTTAGGCTTCTCGATTTCTTTTGGGAGTAATGCTAGGGACCCCAAATTGTATCCCAAATCAATATATACCCTTGGATCAATGAGTCCCGTTAACTTTTTTCAGTTAGACCCACTCATCCAAGGGTCCCTACTCATTTGGGATGCAAAGTATTATCCTTCTTTTGGTGCTGCTGGCTTTATTGTGCTAGAATATAAAAAACTTAATGATTTACCAAGCCCCTTCAAAGTCCTCTCTAGGTCATATCGAGGGCTAACAATTTTGTATATGGTACATATAGACTTATTTACTAGAATACATATATTACAACACGCTACAAACTTAGTTGTCATACTTATGAGACAATTTGTTAAATAATTGTTTGTGGATTAGGTTGTTACGGAGCTGTAATCAACAACTGACAATTTCTTCTCTTTTGTATTGCCTGAAATGTAGTTTAATGCAAATAACACTTGTTTAAACAAAAACATTAGTGGTTTTAAACATAAATTATTAAGCCATTAATATTGTGAATAGTTGACATTTCCAACAGCAATGGACATTGTACAGACTTAGAGAAATCTCAATGGCATGGCTAATCAGATTTCTTTATGACCCTCCCAGATATTTTGATTGGCCATTAAATGCAAAGAAAAGGATTGATTGAATAGCTAAACCATCCAATATACATGATATTTGTATTGTGACCCACCTTTGAAGGGTGTGTACATTGCTTGATTTGACCATTTCACCACCAAACAGTGTTTAATTTTCAACAGTAATGTATTGGGGTCCACTAGAAATGAATGAATGATATGCAAGGCATTTGGAAATATGTGTTAGGTACCATGTGCTTGTAGAATCTTCAATTGTCATATACAAAGAAATCCCAATTTGGTTTAAACGTTAAATTCAGGCCAAGTTATGTGAGACTATAATCAAATCCATATTGAATTCAATTTCAACCAGAAAATTAAACTCGAGAATTAATTTGGATCTAACCGGAAACTACATTTTAAACATCCACAATTTAATTTGGATCTAATTGAACCCAACTGAGGATATCATAAAATGAGCCCAAAATGAATCTCAGCCCACCCTAGTTGTTCCCCTAGTGAGAATCTTCTATGTAAATGTTCAAGTATGGACCGTCAATTTCAGTGCGGCCAATCTGTACTACATATGCAGCTGGCTCTCAATCCATTTTTCTTATTTTTTTTTAATCTTTTAGATTTTAGTAGATTTCTAATTTTGGGGCTTTTTTTTTTTAAGAATTTTATAATCGAATGAAAATTATTCGAAATTTTCCTTTAAAGATAATGTATCTTCGTTCTGGCATGCCAAAATTCATTAAAAATTTAATAATTTGGGTAAGACCTACCTTCTAATAGCTCATCAATATATAAGGTACCTCCATATCAAGACTACTGTCTACTATGAAACATAGTACTGAAAAACTGGAAGGATTTTCAAAAAACAATATGAACCATGAGAAATCAAACTTGGTAATATAATCGTAAAACAAACTTGTGTTATAAAGATTACAGTAATAAAACATAATCATTTTGGTCTCGTTTGAGTTTTGACAGGTCTTTGGTATTAAGGTTAAATCCCACACAGATAGTTTGGAAGAAAAATGCATATCACTGTTGGCAATCAATATCCACAGTGTTATCTAAATTTCAAATTTCATGTACGAGTGTTATATTTTGAAAAGAAATTGTGAAAACATCACAAACCTAGTTCGATTCATCAAAAGAAATTGTAGGAATATCACAAACCTAGCTGAGGCAGTAGCTTTGAGAGCAGCTGTGTTTCAAGCTCAAGAGCTGGGATTCAAGATTGTAGTTGGGGAGCGTGATTCTATAATACTGTCATCAATCTTCAAGGCAAGCTCGATTGGAACAGGTCACATTCACAGACTTCTAGACAAGCTCAACAAGCAGCACACTGGGTGGCCTAGAAAGGCTTCTATCCTGCATTTGCAGATTCAACCAACACTGGCATGCCATAGAACTGGAAAATATTTGTAACGAGGATCCCCCTAACATTGTAACAGCCATAGCTATGGAAGTCGGAATCCCCAGTCCAAAAAAATCTATTTTTGTGTGTGTGTGTGTGTTTTTATTTTGATAAGTAAAAGGATTTTTGGGTTTGATCTTTATAAACACCATGAAGATTGGGGCTTGATTCATGGTTTGCAACTTCCACCAACACAGAAAGATCAAAAGGAATGGATTGAACTAATAACAGTTGATGGTGCACAAAAATGGTTTTGCACACCACCTGTCAAGTATAGATAATAAATGCAATGAAATCAACGAAAAAATTAGAGAAGACACAATTTATAGTGGTTCGGTCAATTCGACCTACGTCCACTCTTCAATGGCTTCAGTCGCCGAGTATTTTATTGATTCAAAGGTATGGAGAATGAAGATACAAGCTTTGAGAGGGGGAATGGAGAATCAAAGAAAATAATAATCTCCGGTAGTCGGTTCGTCTTCTGTAAGTCTCTGATGAGCATGTGATCTCTTTTTCTCTACCAGATTGGAGCCATTTTATAGCAGCTAAGAGATCATTCTTGTGGAGATCATGACATATCCTCAAGGCTTCTTTATCGCAACTCAGAGATTATCTTTGGTGGAGATCACGACTTATCCTCAACGGAAGGAAGAGGTTGGGGAGCTCTTCATGAAACGTGGTCAAAGATTGGACCGTTTCCTTCCTTCGGTGGTGCGGATAAGCTTCCCGTGCTCTCTTCTTGGTGACGTGCTAAGCAAGAAGTCTAACCGGCCTTGGGCTGTCTTGGACTTGGTGGATTTGGACTGTTTCCTTTGGCGGTGCAGATAAACTTCCCATGCTCTCTTCTTGGTGACGTGCTAAGCAAAAAGTCTAACCGGCCTTGGGCTGTCTTGGACTTGGTGGATTTGGACTGTTTCCTTTGGCGGTGCAGATAAACTTCCCGTGCTCTTCTCTTGGTGACGTGCTAAGCAAGAAGTCTAACCGGCCTTGGTCTGTCTTGGACTTGGTGGATTCACAATGAGGTTGGGCTCCTCAACCGGGGTTGGGCTTTAATACATAAATTGGACTATTTGGGCTTAACCCATCATTTGCCCCCCAATGCCCCATGTCCAAGGAGACTTGGAGAAGGAGGCATTGATTACAGTTTTTTTTTTTTTAAGTTTCTTCCACTTTATTTTAAAGAAGGCCCATAATATTTCATTTTGGCCTTTTTGTTTTGAAAATGACTTATAACTTTCTTTTTGGCCACTTTGTTTTGAAGAGGGCCCATAATTTTCTATTTGCCTACTTTATTTTGAAGAGGGCCCATAATAGTCTATTTGAGCTTTTTTTTTTCTCTTTTTGAAAAACCCTAGACTATAAATATAGTCTTCTTCTTCAAGTTACCACTTCACTTATTTTTAAGGTTGAGCACCCACCTCTTGAAAATTTTGAGAACTCAAGTCCTACCCATTTTGTTGAAGCCAAAGTGTGTGTTCTCCTTGAATCCTTTCAAGAGTGTGATTTCTTCCTTGCTAGTTGAGCTTCTCAAGTGAACAATGTCGATTGAAGAGGGATTGGTGGAGGTTGAAGAAAGCTGTGGATCTGAAATTGAAAGGCTGGACAGCGAAGGGGAGATGGGCAGCGCAGGGAGACGGCTGGGCAGCGAAGGCACGCTGGGCAGCGTAGGCGCGAAGCTGGGGGCCTGGGCGGCTGTTCTGCGCGCGCTGAGGGCCTGGGCAGTGAAGGCACGCTGGAAAGGGAGATGGGCAGCGCCCGCGCGCGTGCTGGGGGCCTGGGCGGCTGCTCTGCGCGCGCTGGGGACCTGGGCGCTGGCCTTGCTGTCCTGGACAGCCCAGGTGCGCTGGGCAGCAGCCTAGCTGCTGCTTCTGCTGTCCCGGACAGCTTCAGATCTGCTGCGCTAGGCAGCTTTGGAACGCTGGGCAGCAGCATTTTTCCATCGAGGGGCGCTGAAAATCAGTCCAAGGTTTGTCAGGGAGAGCTAGGCAGTGGCTTGGGAGCACGGGCTGATCCGATTCTCACTCGAGGTGCTGATTTGGGCGCCTTAGGTGCTGATTTTTGCGCCAAAAATTCTGTTTTGTGCAATATTGAAGGGCCAAGCACCCTTCAAGCTACTGGGCAACTTTGTTTTGATGAGCAACAGCAGTCAGGCACACTTTCAGGCGTTGGGCTAGACATTGCAAGTAGTAAGGAAACTTTGGGTGCTGCTCTTGATGATCAAGCCCTTCTCCAGGTGTTGGGCGCCTTGGGTGAGCCTGGGGCTGCCTCGGGAGAGCCTGCTTGTAATGACAAAAATAATGTTATTTCAAACATTAAAATATCTCACATAATTACCTGGAGAGAGAGAAGTGGGCTGCTTGCGCGAGAGCAAAGACAGAGTTGGAGAACTGCTCGTGAGAGAGCTACACTTTTTGAGACCTAGCTTTTGGCGACCCATGAGGGAGTCTTTAAGCTTGAGGTATAAGCTGCCTGTTTGAGAATAGTGCAGAGGCCAAACTTTTTTGGCGATCCGTGAGAGAGCCGTTAAATTGGCGATAGGCTGCCTGTTTGAGAACAGTGTAGATGCTAAGTTTTTTTTTTTTTGCGATCCCAAAGAGAGCCGCTAAACTGGAGATAGGCTGCCTGTTTGAGAACAGTGCAGAGGCAGGTCAAGTTTTTGGTGATCTGTGTGATGATTCACCTTGCCTAAACTTGTTGATTTCCTCAGCATTCATATATCTTTGAGTTTTTGTGAATAGTTCTGGCATGCTCTTCGGTGGGCGCTTCAGAACTGAGAAAAGGAAACTTGATGAACGGAGGGCACCCAAGAAGGCGGTCATCGTCACCTTGTCGTCAGGTTCATCAACTTGGAGTACCTCCTCGTTAATACGAGTGAGGTAACTCCTCAGGCTCTCCTCGCGGTCCTGCTTTATACTAAGCAGGTGCGTAACTGGCTTCTGGTGGCGACGCCCTCCTATGAAGTGTGAGACGAATGATCTGCTAAGCTCGGCAAAAGAGGTAATAGAGGCGGGGGAGAGCTTAGCAAACCACTGTCGGGCAGACCCTTTCAATGTGGTTGGGAATGCCCTGCACATAATTTCGTCTGGTACGTTGTGCAATTGCATCAAAGTCTTGTAAGTGTCGAGGTGGTCCAGTGGATCCTTTGTTCCATCAAAGGTCTCCACAGATGGCATTTTGAACTTCTGAGGGAGGGGGTAGTTTGCTACATCAGGTTTGAAAGGGGTATCAGTACGCCTTACCAGGTGGTCAACAGTTTCGGGTCCCTGTGCCTTCATGGCGTTGAAGACATCACCGAGTTGATTCTGTACCTCCTTTATCTTCTCGTCCCAATGATTGGGGGCTCCTATGGAATGATCATGGAAGTGGCTTCCATGCCCCATGCTTTGGTTTTCACCCTCATCCTCATGGAGATAAGGGTTCTCTCCCTGGAAAGCAAAAGGAGGGGGAGGTGCAGCTCCCTCATGTTGGGCTTCCCGAAGTGGGGAGCCCAATGGGGCACCCGGGCGTGGAGCAACAAGGCGTGGTGCTCCTTGATGTCCAGGATGTGGAGCTCCTTGGGGTGCTCTATGTTGTGCACCTCCGTGGGGCCCTCCATGTTGTGCACCTCTGTGTGGTGCTCCACGTTGTGCACCTCCGTGTGGTGCTCCACGTTGTGCACCTCCGTGTGGTGCTCCACCTTGTCCAGCAAGTATGAGTTGCAGTAACTGTTGGTTTTGAGCAACCAGTTGCTGCATGGTCTCCAATATTTGTTGGGGATTCGGGGCTAAAGTATCCGGAACAGGGTTGATAGGCGGGGGAGCAACCTCCTCCACTCGTGGAGGATTGTCTTCGTGTTGGTTCATGGATCGAGTAGTGATCGCCATTAGTGAATGAACGTAATGTTCAGGAGTGAGAATTTTGTCGTTTCCCACAGACGGCGCCAAACTGATGGTGCACAAAAATGGTTTTGCACACCACCTGTCAAGTATAGATAATAAATGCAATGAAATCAACAAAAAAATTAGAGAAGACACAATTTATAGTGGTTCGGTCAATTCGACCTACGTCCACTCTTCAATGGCTTCAGTCGCCGGGTATTTTATTGATTCAAAGGTATGGAGAATGAAGATACAAGCTTTGAGAGGGGGAATGGAGAATCAAAGAAAATAATAATCTCCGGTAGTCGGTTCGTCTTCTGTAAGTCTCTGATGAGCATGTGATCTCTTTTTCTCTACCAGATTGGAGCCATTTTATAGCAGCTAAGAGATCATTCTTGTGGAGATCATGACATATCCTCAAGGCTTCTTTATCGCAGCTCAGAGATTATCTTTGGTGGAGATCACGACTTATCCTCAACGGAAGGAAGAGGTTGGGGAGCTCTTCATGAAACGTGGTCAAAGATTGGACCGTTTCCTTCCTTCGGTGGTGCGGATAAGCTTCCCGTGCTCTCTTCTTGGTGACGTGCTAAGCAAGAAGTCTAACCGGCCTTGGGCTGTCTTGGACTTGGTGGATTTGGACTGTTTCCTTTGGCGGTGCAGATAAACTTCCCGTGCTCTCTTCTTGGTGACGTGCTAAGCAAGAAGACTAACCGGCCTTGGGCTGTCTTGGACTTGGTGGATTTGGACTGTTTCCTTTAGCGGTGCAGATAAACTTCCCGTGCTCTCCTCTTGGTGACGTGCTAAGCAAGAAGTCTAACCGGCCTTGGTCTGTCTTGGACTTGGTGGATTCACAATGAGGTTGGGCTCCTCAACCGGGGTTGGGCTTTAATACATAAATTGGACTATTTGGGCTTAACCCATCAACAGTATGTCCTAATAATACTATCAGAATTACAGAAAAAAGAAATGTATTGGAGACAAAAGCAAGTTCAGGATGGAAGAGAACTCACTTGGTCAGCTGATCGATTTTTGGGATTAATATGGATGGTCTCAAGAAGCATCCTATCATTGGAGACATGAACACTCATATATGTAATGCATATGCATCAAGAAGCTACTTAACCAGCAGAAATTCGGCTCCTCTTTTTATCAAA